CCGCGTGCGGGTGCGGGAGCGCAGCCACCGCGACGGGCATGGGAGGCAGCCCGGGTCGGTGGCTTCCTCGTGGGCTGGCGGGGGAGGTCCCGCAGAGGAGGAAGCGGGTGAAAGAGGAGGGCCCGGGGGGCGGACGCGCCGTCCTGCAGGGAGCGTGCAGAATCCAGGCGGTGCAGCGGAGCGCTCGTCGGGGGTGGCTGCGGGCTGGGGAACAGGAAGGCCTGCTCCCCAGTGCCCGGGGCCTTCTTAAGCTGGCCCCCACCGCAGCCAGGCTGGCCAAGTTAGACGCTGGATTCGGTCTTGCCAAGGGGTTAGGGTTTGGCCCCTTCCGCAGGTTTGGCCCTTCCGGCCTCTCCCTTCTGAGCGCTGTGCTGTGGACTGGTGGGCACAGAGGCCAGGAGGGCACCGGCAAAGCGGAGATCTCCCGTGGCAAACCCTGGTCCTGAAGAGTGGTTTGTGTTCCGGTGGGAGGGCTGCAACTCACCCTCCCGGAGGCCCAGCTTTGCCATCCCGTCTTTTGCTTGGTTTGGGGGTTGGCGAGGATCCTTTTGCCCCCCCTTCCCGCACTCCTGTTCCCGCCCTAGAAGAGCCCCCCCTGCGCAAATAATGCAGCCCTAAGTGGCCCTTGGGATCACAAAGGCGAGCCTGCGGACAGTCCGTAGCGTGCTCCACAGAGGCTGCTCGGCCCCCTCCTGCGCCCTTTGTGGCTTCCTGTTCCTCGGCCCGAAACGGTCTGGAGCAACGTTTCCCTTGGAGCAAAGCCAGAGATGCCCTCCTGCTTCTCTGGGGCCGGGGGCCGCCTGCCCTGGTCTTCCTTGGGGGGCTGCTGCTCTGAGCCCCCTGAAGAGGGGAGGCCTCATCCCACTTCAGCGCTTGAGAAGTTCAGAGTGGTTAATACTTTTCACTGATGGCAGTAAAGCTGCTCCCATCCAATTTGGGGTTGTTTGGGGCTTTCCTGTAGGTCAGCCCCCCCCGCCCCGGTTCCCTGATAGAGTCGGAAACAGTGCGGGAGAAACAGGCTGGGCCTGGGCTGCAGGGAGGAGAAAGGGGGGCGGGGGGCTCAACCCTCCTGCTGCCCCTCCCGATTTCTCTTGGTCTTAACGAGGGCCTCTTCCTTCCTCCCACCCCCTTGACCCCCAGCGCCCTGCAGCTGGAACCTCACCGGACCCCAAGGATCCCTGGCATCTCCGCTGCCCAGCAGCATTGCCTACGAGGATGGCTCGCTTGACTGCACCTACACCCTCTCGGTGTACCCTGGCTATGGCGTGGAGATCCGGGTGAGTGCCCGGCAGAAAGGGGGGCATGGGCCAAGCTTGCTTTTGGAAGGAGGAGGGGCACGCCCTCGCTGGACCTTCAGAGGGATGTGCAGGGGGAAAGGCTTGGCAAGAGCGGATCAGAGAGCACAGGGGTCCAACAGCAAACCCCGTTATTCGAGGGGCGGGATTGTGGTACGGTTGAATTTGCCTCCTGTATCGACAAGGGGGAGGTTCACCTTGCCAGCAGCTTCGGGGATTCCAGAAGTTTGCAGGATGTCTTCTTTTTTTTAATCTTTGGGTTGTTTTTTTTTTAAAAAAAGCACAACTGGGAGAGAATTAAGGAGAGGAGGGGATGTTACCCCTGGCTGGCTGGAAGCTTGAACAGGAGGTGCCCGCGTTGCCTCTTTTTTGCCATCTGGCTTTGAAATCACAGTAGAGCTCAAATTGCCATCGCAACCCCACGACCAAGTTATGCTTTCAAATACGAGTCCTTCGTTGGAAAGGGCGCTATGCCTCCTTCTGATGGGCTGCAAGCGTGGGGGCACCCTCTAACCATTGGCCTGGCCTGGCCTGGCCTGGCCTTCCTCAGATCCCAAGGCCCAGCAGTCACGACGGCTCCTTCCAGAGGCGGACGTGAACTTCCTGGGAGGGACGAAAGCTGGTCCGTCCAGCCTGCCCGACGTGGTGCCTCCAGATGGTGGAACTGCCACACCCAATGGCACCACCAGGCCACACCCAATGGCAGTTC